AAGCACAGGTTGCCCCAGGCAGCTGCTGCAGGTGTTTGCAGAGCAGTGGGTGCTGTGTTCAGCAGCTCCTGCAGGCAGTGCAGCAGAGCAGATTTGGGCTCCTGCTCAGGGAACACTGCAGGAAGGTGGCTGAAATTTGCCTTGGCGGTGGGAGGTTTGCTCTGGGTGGGGCAGTGCCAGTCCTGGGGCTGGAGCTGGCTCAGGGGCAGTGCTGGGCTGTGGGCACTGAGGAGGCTGTGCTGGGGGTTGGCTCCTGCCAAGGTCAGCCTCTGGTTTTGATGCCTTCAGTTTTAGTTTTCATGTTTTCCAGACTCTGTACTGCATTAGTTCCTAACTCTGAACTCCATATAAATTGTTAGCATGTTCTCCTCACAGCTCGGTCAGACAAAACGATCCTTTTCCAGCCCCAGAACCAAGGACACCACTGCAGCTTCAGGCCCAAAAAGTGGAAACAACAGAGAATTGAGGAGAGCAAACTGGGAGGATAGGACTGCTTAACCCAGAGCTGGAATTGGACAATTAACTGCAATATGGAAATGGACCAAAACTGATAAAAGTGTGAGAACTTGTGAGCCTCATCCAGCTTGGGTGTAGCCCTGGCTGGGCTCTTGTGCTGCCCAAGGTGAATCCTGTGAAGGCCTTTTAATAAATCCCTACTTTATTCCTTTAACTCTGTCCAGCCTCTGCTCCAGGAGCCTCTCAAGGCATCAGTTTCAGTGTGTGCAGTCCTGCAGGTGTGAATGGGGGGAATTCAAACACCCACAAGGTGGTTTTGAAGATGAGGAGAGGTTCAGGTGAGGCTGTGGTGGAAGGGGAGGTGGAGAGGAGGAACCAAACACTGGTCACAGAGTGGTTCTCCTCTCTGCTTTGAGTGCTTGGGTCTGGCTTCATAGTGGCAGCTCTAATTTACATCTGCTTTAAAGCTGCTTAAAAAAAATAATACAAACCTCCTTATTTAATTTTAAAGCCACCCATGTGCCCTGTGATTGTGGATTCTGTTGCTTCTCTGGGGAGGGCTGTGCAGGATCTGTGCCTTGTTATGGGCTCTCTTTTGCCTGCCACATGAGGAACAGCCTGTCTCCTCTGTGCTAGCATCCCTCCAAAGACTTCACAGGCAAGCCTCTTCCCTTTGAATCTTCTTTCCTCATGCAGGATCCACCCAGCCAAAAACAATAAAACATAAAACTGGAAAGAGAAAACAAACAAAAAACCAGGGCCATTTGTGATTTCTGTCTTTTGCTGCCAGTTGGCTGCACGACTTGAAACGACTGAAGTGCTCTTTTTTTTTTCCCCCACCACTCCTTCCAACCCATTCCAATGTGTTAGTCTTTAAGTTGCAGCAGGAATGTCTGGGAATAACTCACATCCCAAAGTGACAGCCTGAGAAATGAGGAGCTGGTCTCCTCCTCAGGCACCAGATGGAGGAACTGTCCTGCTCAACCCTTGGTTTCTTGGGAACAAAAGCTTCTGTGGTCTCTGCAGGGACCCATGGCAGCACAGCTCCAGCATGAAATTCTGCTGCAGGGTTTAAATGGAGGCAGGTGGTGCTGAGGCCCAGAAGTGTCTGGGGAAGGAGGTTCTCTCTTAAAACCTCCATGGTGGTGGGTACAGAAGGCTGAATAAAGAGACAGCTAGAACAGAGCATCAGCTTGGACTGGGCTTGGACTGGGCAACTCTCAGGTGTGACTGGAGGCACCCACTGAGCTGGGGGACTGCATGGGGTGTGTGTGGTTGGGCTGGGGAGCTGTGGGGTCTGTCTGGCAGTGGGATAGACCCCACAGGGCATTCAGGGTGTGCAATTGTGAAGTGTGTTTGGCTGTATCCAGCGATGCTGTGCAGCTGTGGGATGTATTTGGTAGTGCTCATTTAGACTGTGTCACTGTGGGGTGTATCTGGCTGTATTTCTTCAGGATGTGTAACTCAGTGGGGTTATTTGGTAGGGTACATTTAGGCTGTGTCAGTGTGGGGTGTGTTTGGCAGTGCCCATTTATGCTGTGTCATTGTGGGGTGTATTTGGCAGTATTCCATCAGGATGTGTAACTGTGGAGTGTTTTTGGCTGTATCCAGTGATGTTGTATAGGTCTGGGATGTATTTGGCAGTGCACATTTAGGTTGTGGGAGTGTGTGGTGTATCTGACTCTATACTATCAGGTTGTGAAATTGTGGGGTGAACTTGGCTGTATTCAATCAGGAAATGTAACTGTGGGGTGAGTTTGGCAGTGCCCATTTAGGCTGTATCACCGTGAGGTGAGTTTGGTATTGTGCAGTGATGCTGTGTCAGTGTGGGGTGTATTTGGCAGTTCCCATTTAGGCTGCGTCACTGTGGGGTGAGTTTGGCAGTGTAGATTTAGGCTGTGTCACTGTGGGGTGTATTTGGCAAAGCACATTTAGGATGTGTCACTGGGGTGTATTTGGTAGGGCACATTTAGGATGTGTAATTGTGGGGTGTATTTGGCTGTACTCCTTCAGGATGTGTAACTGAGTGGGTTGTATTTGGTAGAGTACATTGAGGTTGTGCATCTGCGGGGTGTGTTTGGCAGTGTACATTTAGGGTGTGAAGTTGCAGGGCGTGCTTGGCTGTATCCAGTGATGCTGTGCCACTGTGGGGTGTGTTTGGCAGTGCCCATTTAGGCTGTGTCACTGTGGGGTGTATCTGGCAGTGCCCATTTAGGCTGTGTCACTGTGGGGTGTGTTTGGCAGTGCCCATTTAGGCTGTGTCACCATGGGGGTGTATCTGGCAGTACCCATTTAGGCTGTGTCACTGTGGGATGTGTTTGGCAGTGCAGATTTAGGCCGTGTCACTGTGGGGTGTATTTGGCAGTGCTCATTTAGGCTGTGTCACCATGGGGTGTATTTAGCAGTGCAGATTTAGTCTGTGTCACTGTGGGGTGTGTTGGGCACAGGCAGTGCCACCAGTGTCTCCCCCACAGCCCAGGGCAGAGCCAGCAGTGCCTCACATAGTGAGGTGCTTTTTTGCCCTTTAATAAAGGGCAAAAATGGCCAGGAGGGGTGAAGGGGGGATACAAAAAGGTGAGAAGCAGCTCTGTGAGTACTGAGGCTGGTGAGGATGAGGTGCTGAGCAGGGGTTGATCCCTGGCAGCAGTTGTGGCCTGTGCAGGCCCCACACAGGAGCAGCTTCTCCTGACGGGAGCGGGACCTGTGATGGCTCCACGTGGCAGGAACAGGACCTCTGGAGGCTCCACACAGGAGGAGGGGGATGTTTCTGGTAGGAATTGTATCCTGTGGAGCTGATTTGTGGCAGAAATTGTAACGAGTGGAGGCCCCACAAGGGCGCAGTTCTCCTGACAGGAGCTGTGGCCTGTGAAGGCCCCACGGGAGCCTGGGCTAGGTGTGAGAAGGAAGGAAGGACAACTATCATGTCCCAGTCATACCTGTCCCAGTTCCCAATCATTCTGCACCCCTTGGGGGGACGTAGATCCCCTCAGAAATGGGGAACTTGAGCCATGGTGGGTGGGGGTAAGACATTGTGTTAGTTTTATGTTTGTTTCTCGTTATCCAGATCGGTTGGTGATAAATCGAATTGCCAAGGATTGGAAAGGGGTCACTTGTATTTTTTATAGCAGCCCATCAGCTTTTTCCTCTTATTTTCCCCCTTGCCTCGGGTGGGCAGCACAGTGAGTGGACATCTGGCAGTCCACCACAGCAGCAAGCACTCATTTCTGCTACCCTAAGCACAGCTGGTGCCAAAAATGCTTGGCACAAGCCCTGTGGCAGGGCTCATGGAAAGCCAGATGACTGTTGTCCATAAAAAAGAGGGATGCTGGTTGTTTCTCTTGGCTGTGCTCTGCTTCTGTGGTGCCTCTGCCATCCCTGGGAGTTTCATGGGTTGTCCCTTGTTGGAGGCAGACATGGTGGCAAGGTAGAAACAGACTTGACTGAATTCAAGGGTCATGAGATGCCCCGGACAGTAGCTGCTGCATTAATAACCTTAGTTTTACCAGAAATAGCAAGTTTAAATGTTTTAAGTAGATATGGGGCCTGTTCACAGTGCTCGTGTGGCTCTCCTGCTGCCTGGGGGAGAGTTTCTCCATTGTCAAACCTATGTCTTGGGGGCTCACTATTTCTTTCTTCTTCCTCCTAAGAGTAGGATTGGAAATTGAGGGAATTTAACCCAGTTGAGTGCCTGGCATGTAGTTCTGCTTTCTAGACAGCAAACCCAGGACCAGCAGATGCAGCCCCAGGAAGCTGTAGTATTGAGACAGGGTAGATGTGTTCCAGGGGAAGGGAAGATTTAGGAGCTGAGCAGGAGTTCAGCTGTATTCCCACAGCTGCTTCAGAGTGATTTCCATTGCTGCTGTGAATGGGGGAACTGGATTTTAATCCTGTCCACTGGAACTCACTTGAGGGGAACACATTTTCTGTAATGTTGATTGGTGACCAAGCAGCTTTCATTGAGCAGAGCAGTGCCAGGAGGAATTCCCATGCTGGTGCCATCACTACTGTATGAAAAACCTGCCTTGGATATTCCACGAGTTTTCTGATGTTTCAGTATTTTAGAGTTGCATTGCTTCCAGGAAAAGGCTCATCCTGACTTTTCTTTGAATGGCTGCCTGGAGAGACTGAGCTGTTGGGAGCATGGTGCCAGTTCCTGGTGGATGGGGATGGTGGAGATGACAGTGACATGTGCAGGGGCACTGACTGGAATTTCTTCTCTCTGCCATGAACTCTGATGCATTTTGAGTCTCTGAGACTTGCAAAGTGAAGATGTGATTCATGGGATTCTGAGCATACTTTGTGGTAACTTTATTAGTGCAGGAAGTTTATTTGTGGTCACTGAGTGTTCAGTCATTTAAAGGAGATTTAAGTAGCTTTAAAATTTATATGGTTTGGAAGCAAAATTTTAGCCTCCCTGGAATCAATGGGCAAAACCACCGCCAGCACCGCTGGGATAAGGGTTGACTTGTGGTGCTTTATGAAATGTGTCTTCTAAAAGTTTTCTGCTCTAATTGCATTCCTTTGTTCTTTTCCCTTAAAGTCTTGTGAAGAAAGCAATCTGAGGACCATGCATCCGTGACTCCTGGACCCAGCCTGTGAGCGAGGGCGATGGAAGTTCTCGAGGGCCTCCAGCGTACTGCTTCTGTGAGCATTCCCAATGGATGTGCCAACAGGATTTCCCAAGGAAACATGGAGGGAGGGAGCACTGATGCCTTGGAGGCCTGTGGTGCTGAGCACTGCGCCTCTGGCGACGCAGTCCCCGGTGAGCAGGAGGAAACACACAGGTATAAGAAGACAACCAAGGGCAGCCGGATCTGGAATTTTGTCAGACGAAGGAAAGGACTCTCTACAAATAAAGACAGGCCTCAGTCCATGATTCTGCTGGGAGTTGCCTCTGAGGCACCAGAATTAAAAAAGCCATCTTTCATGGACAGGGTACGCTCGTCAAAAAAGGGAAGATCCTCCAGGACACCCAAGAACGTGGATTTGAGAGCATCCAGAGCGCAGGATGTGTGTGACCCTGAGGAGGACCCTCATGGCAGCGGGCAGAGGGCTGTCTACAGGGTGAGGAAGCTGGGCGATGGCCGGCGGCCCTCCCGCCACTCCTACGCGGGGTTCATCGAGGATTTGGACTCTTCTTTTGAGGACATAGAGCTGAACATCAGCATTCCTGAACTCGATGCCACTGAAAGTAAATGTCTCAGGGATATCAGTGGCAGATTACACGGTGAGGATAATGATGGTAACTGCCACAGAATAGCGGCCAGGAAGAGCGAGTCTTTGAATTTTGAACACGTTAAGAGTCCTGCAATTACAGAAGGGGACAATCAAAAGAGGTGTGCTGTGCTCCCACAGGAGAGCAGGAGAGGAAGGAGCTCTGATGTCTGGAGCTATCTGAAAGGAATTTCATTAGCTAGCAAAGATAATTCAAAGCTCCCAGATCAAAGGGCTGAAACCAATTTCCAGAACTTGGAAAATACAACTGATCATTCCGCTTCTTACTTTGACTTTGATACAAGATGTGAGGAAAATCTCAGCCAGCGAAAAAAATCAAACGGTGCTGCCAAAGCCACTCACTTTGGGGGTGTCGTGAGGTTCCTGAGCAGCGTGGCCGAGGCGGCCCGGCGGCTGCGAGGCTCCTCCAGGGCGTTCTCCCCCGATGAGAGGAGGCCTCAGCGCAGTTTCCGGGGCCGCAGGCAGGACGTGGCCTCCCCCAGAGAGGGCCTGGTTATTGAGAACGAGAGCGCCAAGGCCTTCTGCACAGTGGGAGCCTGCCTGCAGTCCCCGGATTCGGGCACCTGGGAGAACCTGAGCTTTGAGAGTCTGGGGGGGAAGGAGCCCCTGCAGCACTGCAAAACCACAGATGGGCTGAAAGGCCTTGGTTCCTCTGGCCTGGACAGTGGCAATGACAGGCTTAATGAAACCTCACCTTCTCCCTTTGGGCCAGAGCCATCCATGTCCCATCTGGCAGAGCTTGCACGTGGCTCTTTCACTGAGCTGAACAGCAAAGATCACTCTGAGGATCTGGTTGAACTTGCACAGATGACTCTGGCTGAACCAGTGGAGGACTTAGGCACTAATCCAGAGAAGACCCAGGTCATGGCCAGGGACCTGCCACCTTCTCATGATCTTTCTGTGAATAGTCCGGATACTGTGGATCTGGCCTGTTCTCCAGCTGCCAGTGGGGACTTTTCTGCAGAAACTGAAATGCAGACTCACCTTCCACAGGCATCACCAACTAAACTGGATTCTGGAGATGTGGCTTGTGCCCCAGTGGTTGCTAAAGACATAGCTTCATCTCCAACAGTAGCTCAGGAGTTTTCAGAGACAGAACTGGATAATCAGGACTTGAGAAATCCTGAGCTGCCTTTGCAAAACTTGTCTGGAAGTGAGCTGGAGTTTCAAGACACGGGCAGTACTCTGGAGAGGGTCGTGGGCAGGGACCTGGCGCCTTCTCCTGATCTTCCTGTCAGTAATCTGGATGCTGCAGGCCTGGGCTGCTCTCCAGCTGCTGATGGTGCCTTTCCTGCAGTGACTGAGGCTCAGGCCCACCTTGCACAGACATCACTGGCTAAACTTGATACTGAGGACGTGGCTTGTGCCCCAGCGATTGCTAAAGACATGGATCCATCTCCAGCTGCGGCTCAGGCAATTTCAAGGACAGAACTGGATAATCAGGACTTGAGAAACCCTGAGCTGCCTTTGCAAGACTTGTTGGGAGGTGAGCTGGGGATTCAGGACCTGGGCAGTACTCCAGAGACATCACAGGCTGTGGGCAGGGATGTGCCACCTTCTCCTGATCTTCCTGTGAATGAGCTGGGTCCTGCAGACTTGGACCATTCCTCAGCTGCCAATGGTGACTTCTCTGCAGCACCTGAGGCTCTGATCCACCTGCCCCAGGCAGCTGTGACTGAAGAGAAGCAAGACACTGTCAGCACTCTGGAGAAGAGTCAGGTCACAAGAGACAGGGACCTGCCACCTTCTCACGACATTCCCGAGAATATTCTGGATGCTGCGGACATGGGCTGTTCCGCAGTTGCCGACGTGGACTTTTCTGTAGTGACTTTTTTGAAGTGTTCCACAGTGAAAAGGCAGGGTTTGGAACAGCCTGGTGGCCGCATTAAAAAGCGGGGAGCCGCTTCATTTGTGGAACAAAACTCTGTGGAGGTCATGGACAGAGTGGAAGAGTTTGACTGCAGCACAGAGTGCAGGCCCTTCCAGGTGCACGTCTCGAGGATTGTTGCTTCTGGACGCCTCAAAAATGGAAAGGTAGGAGCAGCTTTGTAAGGTTTGCAATAAGACTACGCTGTTGAACATCTCAAAAAGCTGATTTGCACTGGAAAGTATTTTTGTACATCCCTCATTGGGATTTGCAGCTATGGAGGTTGTTCTGTGAATAGTGGCAGCAGACACAGCTCTTAGATCAGTCTGAGTCTGAGCTCTTAAACCTCCAGAGCTGCTTCTTCTGAGACCCTTTTTGTGTTTCAGTGTCTCTTGAAGAGGTTATAGCAGTTTATGTATTCCTAGACACTAGCTTTAGTTTTTTTCCTCTCTGCATTTAGGTTCATTGGAAGAAGAAGCTCCTAAGAAGAGGGGTTTTAACAAACTGAGAGTTTTTAAGTGTGCTGTGGGCAAACAGAATTCAGCAATTGCACTTTGACCTCTGTGATTCCTGAAAGAGTTGTAGGAGTGGTGGGGTGGGTGATGAATGAGAGGGGGCAATGCTAGTGGCTCCAGTCATGGCAGGATGTTCCTATCTGGTACAAGCAAGTCTTTCAAAACCCTTAAAATCCTCAGAACATGTAAGTGGACATTGCATTTTTGATTAGGTTGGGGGTGTTACAAATCTGTCTTGTCCAGATTATTGCTATGAGACTTCAGAAGTCCTGTGGAGCCAGTGTGAAGCTCAGCTTTAGGGTTCTTTTGGGTACCTGCTGGTTAGCTGAGGCTGGAATGAGGACTTTTTATTTTTTCAAGGTGCCAGGTAGAAAAATAAGGCTGGTTTGTGAAGAAACTTTCTCTTTTCCTATTGGGTTTGGAGAGACAGGAGATATTGCAGAGGTGGTGACACTGTTGCCTGTTGGAAAAGGGGTTGCAGTAACTTCCGAGCCAAGAGGGGAAGTGTTTGAAAATTGGCAGCAGATTAGAAATGCTGGGGGAAAAATCTGGACTTCTGACTCGCAGCTAAAACAGGCAGCAGTATTGTTAGTTATTCCTGGTTTTGTTTTTCTGCTGTTTCTGTGTAATACAAAGAGTTACAGAAGCTCTCTGTGTAATCCCGGGCACTCCAGAGGAGTGAGTGGTGGTTGGTCACTTCTTGGGGTTTCTGGAAGAAACATTTTTAGGAGGAGCTTAGAAGAACTGTGGTTTGATATCCCTTCACAGGGACCAAGCTGAAAGTATTCTGGGCAGGAGCAAGATGAGAGAGGCATGAAAGGATGGAGTGGAGCAGAGGGAAATACCAGCACTGTTCTCCTGGAGCAGCCACATCCCTGCTGGGAGGGCAGGGCCTGTCTGGTCCCAGAGCTCCCAGGGCACAATCCCAGCGCTCTCCCAGCTCAGCTGTGTGAACAGGAGATGCCCTAAGTCCCAGCTCAGCTGTTGCAGCTTACTAACATGACCAAGAAATTTAAATATGGTGCTTGAGATAACTGGGCAGGAAACCTCCCCGGAGTTCCCGTGGAGCGTGGCGATAGCGCACGGCCTCCGTGCTGCTGAGGCTTCCTGTGGCAGGGAGGGCTGGCTGCCTCCTGGGCAGGGGCTGGGAAAGCACACACGCCCCCTGGGTTCTGGACACTCCTGCACCCCAGGAGCTCTGCTGCAGGTCTGGCAGTGCACAGGGATGGAGAGGTGGCACCAAACCCAGAGCACAGGGAGGCTGCAGGAGGGATCTGCTGGGCAGGAGCAGCCCTGGAGAGTCTGCCAGCAGCTTCAGTAACAACTGACCTGAGATACCCCAGGGATTTGCTGGCCTATCTCCCATCAGGGAGCGGCACTCGGAAACACTTTACCAAAAATAAACATGGGAGAGCAGTAACTTCAGCCCGAGCGTGACAGTAGCAGCACACTCCAGCCTCTTATTGTTTTAGGGCTCAGTCCATCCCTTTGCTGGCACCTGTTTCTCAGGACAGCCACTGGCCCTGCTGCCTGCACTCCAGGCTGCTCTGATTAACTGTAGGATTTGTATTTCAAGGGAAGTGCTCAACCACAGGCAGGAGAAGGTGCTGCCAGGACGGGGTGGCTTGGCCAGGCCAGCTGCTCTGAGCAAGTTCCCAGCAGTTTTACAGTGTGTGAGCAGAGTGGGGCAGACAGCATTTCCCAAACAACTTAAACATTACCCCAAGAAAAGCATAAAAGTGCCTGTTCCCATGGAGGCTCCTGTGGGGAGATGGTGTGAGAAACTGAGGCTGGTGTAGCACAAGGGATGCTGGATGGGATTTAGGGGATGATCTGTACATTGCTTCTGTCAATAAGTAAATCTGTTTAGTTGTATCTACAATTAATGCACCTGATTTTTGCTTTCCTGGTCTTGCCTTTTAAAATTCTAATGTCTTTGGGCAGGAGCTGAGTGATGATATGGGCAAGTAGTTTGGTAGGGCTTGATCCTGGTGCTTTAAAGGAAATAGCATTGCAGCAGCATTTAGTAAAAGCAGATGCAGAAAAGTAGAAAAGTGCATCCTGATAGTTGCTTTCAGACCCCATCCCAAATTCTCATGTGTTCTGGGAACTTGTGAAACAGTGGAGATAAAATGTTTTGAAGAACTGGAAGAACAGTAAAGGTCAAATCAAATGGCCAGTGGGAAATGCATTACTCCATTCACACTGCTGCAGCTCTGGAGTCACAGTGCCATCCTTATTCTGAGACATGAGACATGGAGTAAAGCATGACATGGAGGTTTCACTGGGTTTTGGACAGAGTTTCATTTTCCATGACTCCACTGCAGTGAATTATCCTCCTCCAACACCACCACAGCATCCCAACAGGGAAAGTGCTGCTGCAGGAAGTCAGGCATAGCCTCAGGAGTTGTCTTTGAGCATTTCCAGTAGCTTGAGGTGGTATTCAGATGGAAAGCAGCTTTGATACCATCCATATATTTTGCAATTCCAGCCTTCCATCAGGGTTCCAGGCTGGCTGGTGTGTCCATGGACGGGGTTTGTGGGTGATTTGATACCTCCTTTGGGATGACAGGAGGACAGGTTGCAAAGTAGGCATCTGAATTCATATTTCGGGTATTAGTTTGGGGTTTTTGGGACCCAGAAATCAATGTCAGGTTTATTTCTGGCAGAGATCCCTGCTTGTCCCAGAGCCGTGACCAGGAGCATCTCTGGGCTGGTGTCACCCTCGCAGTGACAGCAGAGGCTTTCACTGCAGTCTTCCTGTGCCCTCTGCTGGCTTGCTTGGGAAATAAGAGGTTATTCTGATGGATCAAAAGCCAAATCTCTTCCTTGGGGTTCAGAATTTTATCTCCAAAGGGTTTGCAGGCTGCAGCTTGTTTCTGGCTGTTCTGCACCAGCCCCCAGTTGTGTTTGTGAGGCTGTTCTCTGAGGGAATTAGGATTGCCAGAAGTGTACAGATGAGATTTCTGCAGGCTTGTCAGCCTTGCAAAAGCTGTGTGTCCCATAGGATGAGGATGCTGGGTTTGATTTCAGGGCTCTGTAAAGGGCTGTGTGTTCAAACTCCTGCGTCACTGCAGATGTTCCCCAGAGCAGGTGTTGAGGTTGTTCCTCCGAGTCCTGGCCTCAGATCCAAACTGTCCCAGTGCCACAGAGGCTGTCCCTGGTGCAGGGTGTGCTGCTGCTCCAAGTGGCCCCATGGATGTGGGTGCTGTCAGGGCCTCAGGAGGTTTTTGGGGTTCCCTAGGTGCTGTGTGTGGGAAAGCAGGAGCCTCTCGCTGCGGTGGGTCCGACTGGAAGTGCAGCATTGCTGATTTGCCTGAGTGTGCACATGCCAGGGGATGGGTTTGCAGATCTGCTGCCTGATAGCTGGGGCAGAGCTCAGATCCTCCCACAGCTTTGGGGTTTGGCTTTAGTGCAGCTCCAAGTGCCTTTTCACAAGAGGAAGATCCAGCAAAGTTCCCTTTTTTATCTGTGTTTGTGGAGAAATTGCAGGTGATGCCCATAGTGACTTTTAGCTTGAGATTGGTTTATTGTGGGAGCAGCTGCAGAGATGGGATTGCTGAGTGGATTTATCCCTTTCCTCCCACTGCTGAATGGCACTGACCAGGAAATAGTGTCTGGGAGAGTTGATCTTCAGAGCTTTCTTCATCTCCTCGTTATTCAGCTTCTGGGTTGTGTCTCAGCCTGCTGTAACAAAAGACTTTATAGTTCTTCCAAATTAAGAATTAGTACTTCACTTTCTAAATCCTGCTGTTGCCAAAAGAGTGCTGTATCCCTGTCTGCAGTGAAGTGCAATTTACTTGCAGAATGAAGATTTTGGGTATTTATGGCTTTTAATATGGTTGTGTCTGACAATCATTTTATTTTTAGAAGAGACAAAACCTCTAAAGCCTATCTTCAAGCTGTGCAGATTCTTGTATTCATAATAAGCAGGAGGTGCTAGCAAAATCTTGAATTAAAGCCTATATTTAGTGCCATCTATAGTGGGGTAGGGTTTTTTGGGAAACATATTTTTAACATTGTCAGGGAAAGGCAGGTTGAGTTTGCAAAGCTGATAGGCTTTGCATGTATACAGAACCAGCCGTGGAACACATGGATAATTCAGATTTCCACATGTTTTCTTTTAAACACATGCTGTGTCTTTCCTTTATCCCATTCCCAGCTTCAAAAGTGAAATCAGAGTAGGGATGGGAAGGGGCACCTCTGGGCCTTGCTGGCCTTATGCTAAAGGGACTCTGTGTTGAAAATTCCCTGGATGGAAGGTTTTCTTTGGCTTTTACCCCCTCCCAGCTGCTTTCCAGCCAAGAGAGCTGTACTGGCTCACGGGAGATGATGCTGGTGCTGGGAGATGGAGCCCTAACTCATCCACAGCTTTCTTCTGGGGTAATTACAGCCTGTCTGCTTTGTTCTTCATCTGTAAATGAAAATAACAGCACATCAGGGAAAATGAGCTGCTGGAGGCTTGAGGATGGATCCACCAAACCATCCCAGGCCCCCAGTTATTAGCAGGCTCCTGCAAGTGTGACAGATGTGTTTGTGATTGAGCCTAGAAACCTCTTAGAGAGGAACACCTCCTGTTTGCTCCCCTTGACCTTTGTCAAATGATTTTTCTTCTGATTTCCTGACTCTAAGATTATACAGGCAAGACTTCCACGGTGTCACATGTCACAGAGAATAAAATGAAAAGTAGGAGTTTGAATTGTGATGTTTTTAAAAAGAACATTCCATTCTGCAAAATGTCATGGTACAGTTGTCATTTTCAGGAACTTTTCCTCCTGGAATAGAATAATAAAAGTTGGAGTGAGGAGAACACCAACATTTTTGCCCACTTAGCTGTAAATGCCAACTCTTTGCATTAGTGTTACCAAGCATGAAGGTACAACTGAGATATTTGACCATTTTATGGGTGCTTCAGTCAATTGCAACTATTTTATTTAAGTAAATATTTTGTAGGCTGTAGATGCAAGGACATGTGTGGTTAGCTGTTGCCATCAGTGAGCTGCCAACCCGTTTGGCTGCTCTTTGCTGTTCCTTGGAAGCAGCCAGCCCTTGCTGGTATGGGTTCCTCAGCACCAGCTGATTCCTCCCTGTGTCTGCTCCTGCTGGGGTTTGGGAATGGGAGAGCAGCCTCATCCCAAAATGCAGAGCAGCCAGGGGGTCTCCATCAGGGTCACTCCCAGAAGTTCTGGGACACTCAGTGCTGCTGGAAGTGTTGGGCTCAAAGCTGTACAAGGTCTGAGCCCCCTGCACTGGTGTTGGGGCCTCTATAGCTGCTCAGAGTGACCTCGAGAAAAGTTCTGAAATCTTTTTCCCAGCCCAGCAGTTGAAGAATGAGTCAGGGCTCTTCATTTCTGGTCTCAAGGTTGTTTATTTTATCTTACCTATAATACATTTTCTCCTGCCCTGCCGAGGTCCATCCAGCAGGACAGTTCCAGGCACTCTGCCTGCCCCCAGGGCAGTGTTATGGCTTTATACTAAAAACCACGTGTACAATGTTTACAATTACTTTCCAATACCCGTCACCTGTGTTAGACAGTTTCTACTCTAAACCAATCCAAAAGTGCCACCATCACAGCAGAAGATGGAGGGCAAGAAGAAAAAGGAGAAAGGCTGGACACGCCCAGATCCCTCCATCTTGCCCCCTGAACCCCCATACCAAAAACCCCAAAATCTACTTTTCCACCCTGTGATAACTTCACTATTATTCTACCTAAACTGTTGTGGCTTTGCTGATCTTCATCTAAGGTTGGTAATTTGCTCCACGGGTCATAATCAAACCCACAGGTGTTTTGGGCTCTGTACCAGGGCCTCTGAGCCCCCTGGCAGGGTCCTGGCCATCCTGGACAGCAGAGGGATGTTCTGGTTCCCACACACTGGGGCCTGCACACCAGGGCCAGCAGGTCCTGACCTTGCAGTCAGAAATGCACCGGGTGCAGAGTGCAGCTAGCAGTGCCGTGGTAATTCTGTGTATTATTGTATGTCCTGTGCTTGCTTTGCCCAAGATGTGGGTGCTGTTGGTAAAACCTCCTGTGCCCCTTCTCTCACAGCCGACGTCTCCCCCTGCTCAGCCGTCCCCGCAGGCAGAGCCCTTCAAGGCGCTGGTGGAGCGCTGCCGCTCGGAGCCGCTGTCACAGAGCACCCCCATGGGGCTGGACCAGCTGGGAGGGCGCATGCAGCACCTGCTCCGCAGGCGTGGTGAGTGCATCTCTCCTCTCCCTCTCCCTCTCCCTCTCCCTCTCCCTCTCCCTCTCCTCTCCTCTCCTCTCCTCCTAAAAAGAGTGCCCCTTCTCTGCCACCTTTGCTTTTGGTGGCACCCATGCTGCAGAGCAGTGGTGAGTCCCTCTTCTCTGCCAGTTTTGCTTTTTTGGATGTCACCCATACTCCACAGACGTGGTGAATGCCTCTCCTCTCCCAGCTTTGCTTTTTGGTGTCACCCATGCTCTAGAGCCATGGTGAATTCCCTCCCCTCTCCCAGCTTTGCTTTTTGTTGTCACCCATGCACCAGAGACATGGTGTATGCCTCTTCTCTGCCACCTTTGCTTTTTTGGGTGTCACCCATGCAGCCCTTGGCTGGCAGGGGTGGAAAAGTCAGGAATGTGGTTTGCATCTGTGCTGGTTACATCGCTGACACCAGGTGAGGGAGCTCTGAGAGCCACATGCTGAGGAGTTTCTTGCTGGCTAATAGGATGTGCTTGTGTTCAGTGTGTTTATGAAATAAGGCTGTTTTCTCTCTCTGATGTCTCTGAGCACAGTCCCCATAATCTGGTTATGAGAGGATGAACAGGAGTAGGCACGTGAGGTGTAAAAGCTGTTCAGCAGCTGCTGTGTGAGATTATATTTGGTGGTTTTCTCTTGAATTTCTGTCCTCTAAGAATCCTCTGTGTGAGTACTCAGTGAGTACTCACTGTTTGGAGGTGGTGAGTGATGATGGATACTGAGATCAGAACTCAAATCTGATGTTTGTTTGGAAACACAAGAAGTGAAGGGCTTTTTCCTCCTGTGCTTGGGTACTTTTCATGATGAAGGAGAGAGTCTCCTGAGCCAAAGGCTGGGATGACCTCTCTGCATTTGTCCTGCTCAGTGACACCAGAGAGAGCACCCTGGAATGTATTTGCTGGCAGTGTCTCATGCTGGCAGGTAAATTGGCTGATGGCTGAATAGATGACATCATCTTCTGAACCTCCTAATTAAAAAGATTGATAATGAGAGAAAGGAAATGATTTCCTGAAGGGCCACTGCTGGCATGAAGGATCCTGTGATTTAGTGATGGGTGAGCAGGGAAGCGCTGCCAGGCTGTGCTGGCATCGCTCAGGAGCACTCCGGGGATGCAGGCAGCTGATGGATGGTGGCAGCACGTCAGGGTTCAGAAGAGCTGGGGAGGACAAGGCCAATTAGCTGCCTGTGCTGTTAATTGATGGCTCTGCTGCTGGGGTGCAGTGGTTCCAGCCCAGGGGGGTCACACAGCCCCTCAGAGTGAACATTTCCTGTTTGCACGCTGCTCCATCCATCGCCTCCTCCTGCTGGAGCCGGCACCGTGCTGCAGCCTGGCTCTCCAAGAGTCTCCAAAGTGAAACGTGGGCTGCTAAAAATAGCAGCAGGCTGCCTGCATCAGCATTGAGGAAATAGGTCTCAGTGCAATCTCTCTCCCAACAATGCTGGAGGAAAACCAGGATGGCTGCCCAGGCAGCCTGCAGCAGCGTCCCAGCCCTGCTGAGCTCCAACCTGTTTGGTTTGGGGGTCTCCTCTCTCCCAAAGCCTGGAACCATTTATTCTGGTCTCAAACCCCTCAGGACTGACACAGTCTGAAACCTCTGCCAGGTGAGAGGTATGTCAGGAGATAGAAATTGAGCATTGTGCATCTTTTAGGGAAGAATTCCAGAACTGCTGCTTGTGTGGTGATAGCTGGGAAGGATGTGGAGCAGGAAAGGGAAATGAGCTGCTCATGACCCCAGAGATCTATGGCTGTTTTCTGTAGATCCTTGCTCCATGGCTGGGATGAGGAGCTCCAGGTGCTGGAAACACCTGTGGGGATGCATGTACTATATATGAGCACTGCCTGGATCACATTTACCTGTGCTAGCAGCTGCTCTGGGGACACCAGTGGTGCTCAGCTCTGTTTCCTTCCCTCTAGGCCAGGGGATGTGAAGACCCTGATGGAAGAAGGGATTAAAATTCAAGCTTGCCAAATGTGGGAGAGAAAACGCTGGTCTCATACATAATGGCAGCTTCACCCCAAAAAGAAAGAGATAGGATGTGGAGCTGAACATTTTGGTTGATTGGAAAAGTAGAGCTCATTTGCCTCTTTTTCACAAGCTGCTGTGTGCCTGGGTAGTGCCATCTGCAAGGCCAGGCTGGGGTCTGGTGTGACAATCTGAAAAATATAAAAGCTAGAGCAGAACTGCATCTCTGAGGGCTTGCTTGAAATGCTGGGGCTGAGAACCAGCCCAGTTTCCTTAAAAAACCAGCTTTTATGGCTTTACCCATTTCTTGTTTGTGTGTAAATTGGAGGAGCTGTTTATTTTCCAAGGCCTGGAAAGGTCCACGGTGCACTCAGCTATGGAGCACGGTGAGAGTGCAGCTGGGATTGCTGCAGGTGCTGCTGCTGGGCACACTGGGACAGGCTGCTGAGGGTCTCCTGCTCCTGCAGCTCCTGGCAGAGCATCCTGGCTCCACACCCAGCTGGGCTCACCCCACGTTGGGATGTGGCTCCCGGCTCTGCCTTTTTGTAGTATCCAAGCTGCACTATTTCCCTTGCATCCCAAGAGCACTGAATAAAGCACCTAAATATACTCCGTGCTCTCTTTTTCTAAAGGAGAGGTTGAATGAGTCTCTTGCAAACAATTTTGTTTCTTTCATTTAAAAGAACAGCCTCCGCCCCCAGCCTGAGCTAAAGCACAGCATTTATCTTTTGTCATTCCTTTTTTATTTTTTTGTTCCTGTGGATTTTCTCCTGGCAGCTGAGAACGAGCAGGCTTCAAAGACCCTGAAGGTGCGCGGGAACTGCAGGAACGGCGGCCGTCGATGGAACCTCTTCAAGCCTGGAGCTGAGAAGCTGCAGATCAGTCGGGTAAGGAGCTGTGTGCAGCGTGCCCCTGCCTGCTTCAGGGCTGGCATTTGCCTGCTTTGGGCTGTGTGTTTAGAACAATGTGCCTGACTAACAGCTTCCTCAATGCCTGGGTCCTTCAGCCACAGATGGGGATGGTTTTGGTGTGGTGTTGTTTTGTGGCAGTAAAAGCTCAGGTGCGTTGTCTTTTCCCCAAATCAGTGTCCCTTCAATGTGTGGCACAGGCTGTTGGGCTGTCACTGGGCCTCCTGTGCCTGTGGCTGAGTGCTCCTTGCAGGTGGAGGGAACTGTGACGTTTCCCATCGCCTTCAGATGTGCTCCCTGGTTTTGATGGGTTTATTTTTTCTCCTTCCTTTTTTAGCCCTGTGTCCTTTGGGTTTGGTGCTGCTCCCAGCACCATCTCAGTGACAAATTCATGTCACTGCTTCTTTCCCAAAGTGTTTTGCAAATATAGGCACAATTCATCCACTTGGTTCTTTTTTTGTGAATGATGCTTCTAGTGAGGGAAGTAAAAGCTGTTGTGGGCCTGGGGACGTTCATGTTTTTCTCTGGGACAAATTCAGAAAAGATGACAAAAATGGTATAATTTGTCTGATCTGTTTCCTTGCTTGGGCAGGGGGTTGTTTTTTTTTTTTTTTTTTTTTTGTTTTGCTGTGCCCTGTGTTTGAAGTCTGGAGGCTTTGGTTATTTCATGGTCTTGTTTTGGATTTGCAGTGCTCATGAGTCTGGTTTCACTGGTACCCAACAGATCCAGATCATCCCAAACCCAGCAGATTTCCCAGCCTGCCCTGTGATGCAGGCAGAGTTTCCTACTGACTATGGCAGAAGAGGTTCAGCCCTTGTTGTTCCTCTAGGGCACAGGAACAAAGGATGGTCTGGGAGGCAGGAATTTCCCTGCTGGAGTGGAAAGGGGAACTGACCTTCTCTTGTGTCTCTGTGGCTCTTTCCCTCCCTAGTGCTGTCCTTCCTTACCAGACCTTTCTTGTATTCCTTTCCCCTTTGATATTTGATGAGCTGCCTTCCTGAAATGTGATTGCCAGGGGTCCTTGGCCTCTGTGTGTGCTTTTCCATCACAGGAAGCTGGCAGTGAGTGATGCTGACTTCTCCACCCTCCTTGTGTTGGGTGTTGCTTTCCAGGGAACACGTGCAGGGATGCACTGCTGGATTTTTTTGTCTCTTGTGACTTTCTGGAATTCCATCTTGCATCACTTCTGTTTTCTTTGCTGAGTTTTTGTGGGCTGAGGTACAAAGGCAGAGGAGAGACAGACAAGGAGTTCAGCTCTTCTCTTTCTCTTCCTTCCCTTTGGGTCCTACCTCGCTGCTGAGACATGAACTGCTCCTTTCAACTCAGGAAAGCTGTTCTGCTTTCAGACAAGCTGAACATCTAAAGCTTTGAACAAAGTTTTCCTGGAAGATGAAATGATCCCTGTCCAATAAAGCTGTTTGTCCTTGGGGCCAGGATAAAGGCAGGTGGCTGCAGAGCAGTGCAATATCCTGTTGTGCAGTGTGCAAGCCCTGCCTTGGAGTGTCTCAGGTGTGTTACCCACGAGCTGTGTCCCTGTTCAGGGTCTGGTACTGACCAGTGCATGGATGGATTTGGTCCTTAATTAATCACTTCATTACACCTTAGTTAATCACTTTATTAATCCTTTAAGAGGAGCCTTGCAGCTTTCATAGCTGTCCTGGAGGCCCTCCTGGAAGCCAAGGTGCTGTTTTGACACAAAATTGCTCCTGAATTATCTGTGCCTTGAGCATCCTAAAGCCAGGCCTGTTTCAGATGGCATCAGAGGCCCTTAGAGAAGCTGTGGAAAACTGAAACCTCAGCAAACAAACACCCTGCTGAAGTTTGGGAAAGGTTGGCAAAGAAACTGCTTCTCCTGTGGTGATGGTGGGAGGGATGTGGAGCTGGAAAGGGAAGTGAGCAGCTCATGGCTCAGATCTGTGGGTGCTGTTTGGCTCAGACATGGCCATGCCATGTGCCCCCCTGAGGCAGAGAATTTGCTTTGGGGAGGTCTGTCCAGCTTGTTTTTAAATCAAAGCAAGCAGGAAGCTCTGAAAACTTTGGTTTATAAATCAGAGGTGCTGTGCAAGTGCTGCAGGAGCAGGATACAGAAATGTGGCTCACAACAGCAGTGCTGGAAAACTCAGCTGTCACCTCTGCCCCAAGCTCAGTGAAGATATGCAGGTGCACATCACCTCTTGGCCAGAAAGTTGTTCTGCTCTGGCAAATATATAAATTTGGGGTGAGATTTGTGGGCCTGGGTGTCTCTGGGGAGGTGCTGTCATTGACAGCTGACCCCAGTGAGGTGGCAGAGCAGAAAGCAGGGATTTGTCCTTCCAAGAGTGTCTGAAATCTGGGCACAAGCTGGAGAAGTTTTTTATGGAGTATATAAGGTTATTGTTCCACTTCGGAGGTGAGAATAAGAAAGTGAACCACTGGAGCGTGGTACATATGGAGTCATACAATATTTTTTTTATTTCTCTCCTAATTTAAGAAGCAAGTAAAAATAAATAAGGTCAGATTTTTAACAATTTTCAGTCTTTATTTTTTTCCCAGAGTACACTCTTCAGCCTGGAGAGAACTCTGTGTTGAAGCAGTTTATGTGCAGAGCATTTTGGTTTAGCACTTAGGTCCCTTAGAGCCTTTGTTTGGCACAGTCAGGACCAACTTGCAGGAGACTGAAGGTGCCCTGAAGTGCAGGCTTTGCTGCAGCAGAGATCAGAGTGCCCTGAAAGGCTGTTCTGGCAGGACCTGAGCATCTCTCCTGCCTCTGATTTACCCTCAGGCAGGTTCTGCCACCTGGGATGGGGCTGATCCTTGGAGCAAGGGCAGCAGTGAGTTCCCTTCTGCAGCCCCAGAGCAGGGCTGGGAGATGTGTGATGGTCTGCATGGCAGAGGGTGACAGTCCCACCCTGACCCAAATCTCTGCCTCTGCTGCCCCTTGTGAGGGAATCTTTGCTTCTTGTTAGCTCCCAGTCAGAATCATCCCACCTTTGTCCAGACAGTGCTCTGGGGATGTGCTCCAGGAGGAATCACAGAACCACCAGGTTGGAAAATCCTTTAAGATCATGGAGTCCAACCCATGCCCTAAACACCACCTCAACTAAACCATGGCACTGAGTGCCACATCCAGTCTTTTTTTAAAAGAAGGGAGATTCAGCCCTTCCTGAAACAGGAAGCCTCTTCTCTATATGTATTAATTCTCTCTCTTACCTGAGCGTTTTAATTTGCAGCCTTTAAAGATGACTGCAGCCATTCCTGTCCTCTGCTCAATCCCTCCCTTCCTGCCCTGTGTACTTGTGTACAAGGGACTAAAGCCCAAATTTATATTCTGGAGGATGCCACTGTTAATTAGCTAGACTGGAAACTTTGCATGAGAGGAGCTTCTTTGACATCCCCTACACTAATAATAGGCAGGCCTGCTGTGCAGAGGTGTTGAATATTCACAAAACCCACCCCCCAGCCTGTCCCTTCTCCTCTGGAAGTCAGGAGCTCTTTCCAGAGCCTGCTGGGGGGTTGCCAGAGCAATGATGGTGGATGTGCCAGTCTGCAGCTCCCCAGAGCTAAATCCCCATGGCTGTGTTTATGAGGAATAGGAAATTCAGGCAACGTGCAGCCTGCAGGAGAACAGAATGAAGGGGAAGTTGATTTGGGTAGGAATGCTGCTTGATATTCAGGGCCAGCTCTCCTGCCTGCTATTTTTATCCTCTCACATAGTGCTGAGTGGGCACTTTGGGCAGAGGGGGGATTTTTTTCCCTTTGCCAAGTGTCCTGCCCTGTGTTCCTGTGTACTTGGGCAGGAAGGGGGCTGTGCTGGGGCTCCTGGGCTGCAGCATCCTGGGCTGTGAGTGGGATGTGATCACAGCCCGATTTTGGAGCCCCTGTGTCCCTGGGAGAAAAGCACAGTCCTGAGGCTTTCCTGGTGCTAATTAGTTTAAATATCAGTGTGGTGCTACAAGAGGTTTATGTGCACGTATGGAGGGCTGCCAGGGATACAAATCCTCATTGAATCTCTCTTCCCTCATCTTAAACATTGAGTATTTCTGCTGGCAGGGTATGTCTGAGCCATATATTTTGGGGAGGGCTGCTTTATATCTTGATAAACCTATTCAGCTGCTCTACTTAGCAGTGCTCTGAAGTCTTTATGGAGTTTTGTTTGGTTTTTTTTTTAATATATTTAGCCATTTGTAAGTGTTTTTGCAAGTTCTGAAAAACTCAAATCAATCAAAATTGCCTTGCTCATTTGAGGGGGAAACAGGGATTGAGCAGCAGAGTATTGCAGTGCTGTGATCCAGCCCCATGTGTGTGCATGAGCAGTGCCCAGGCAGGGTCCCTGCACCCCTGGCTGCAGCAGTGCAGCCTTTTCAGCACCTGAGCTGTGTGTGATGTGCTGGGGGTGGCAGCTGGGCCGGGCAGGCAGAGCTGAGTGTGAGCTGCAGCTCAGCCCCGAGCCCATCCGCGTGCTCTCGCCTGAGCGGGCCTGCCCTGGGCTCCTCCCCAGGGATGCAAAGCACACAGCAGCAGGCCTGCAACTAGAAATGAGAGCTGTTCCCAGCCTTACCATGCTCTGCCAGCCTCCTCTCCATGTGTGTTCATTCTGTCTTTAATTTCCAGCCTTTAAAGATGACTGCAGCCATTCCGTCCTCTGCTCCTTCCCTCCCTTCATGCCCTGTGTACTTGTGTGTCACACACATATTTTCTGAAAAATCCTTTTGCCACGATCTTTTCTCCTGAGAAGCTTCAGCTTCTCCATGTTTTGCTGCTTTGGAATGTGGTTTGGAGGATTATTACCCAGCATGTGGAATTGTTTTTACTTGATGACCAATGACAGCCACCTGTGTCGAGGCTGTGAGCAGTCACAAGATTTTATTATCATTCCATTCCTTTCTTTTCTAGCCTTCTGATGAAATCCTTTTCTCTCAATTATTTTAGTATAGTTTTAGTATATAATTTTATAATATAATATAATATAATATAATATAATATAACATAACATAACATAACATAACATAACATAACATAACATAACATAACATAACATAACATAACAATAAACCAGCCTTCTGAAACATGGAGTCAAGATTCTCATCTCTTCCCTCGTCCTGGGACCCCTGTGAACACCACCACACTTGTGTACAAGGGACTAAAGCCCGAATTTATCTGATGGAGGAAGCCACTGTTAATTAGCTAGACTGGAAACTTTGCATGAGAGGAGCTTCTTTGACATACTAATATATATAGTATAATATTATAATATATATAATACTATAATAATATAATATAATATAATATAATATAATATAATATAATATAATATAATATAATATAAT